TTATCAGTATTATCACCCCATAAATAATGATGACAATTAAAGTCACCAAGAATTATAAATGGTTTGGGTAAGGAGGCTATTAAAGATTTTATTCTGCGAAACGTATGGACAGAAGGGGAGGGAACATAAATAGAAACGAAAGTTATATTTTGAATTCTTACTGCTACAATATTAAAGTCAAATATTTCATCATAAACATCTATAATGGAATAAGTTATATTATTTTTTATAAGCAAAGCACATCCGGCATAACCATCAGATCTGTCACTTCGAACAAGACAAAAACCAGGTACTCTGATATTCGAATCCGGTTTTAGCCATGTCTCTGAAATAGCAGCGATACACACACTGTATTTCTTTAATAAATAGATTATTTCAGTACGTTTATCTAAAATGCTTCTACAATTCCATTGAAGGATCTTTGTGAGAGTGAATGTCTTGGAGAATTTTAGGTATAGAATTTAGTAAGCGAGCAACGTGGGACGGTAGTTTCGACGAATACGAAGATATGATTATGTTAATAAGGAAACTTATAATGCTTTCTACAGAATCAAAATTACCCTGTGAAGTAACTGGTGAAACCCGAAGAGCACAACCATCCTCAGGTTGCGGAATTGAAAAATCTTCAATAATTTTTTGATGACTTTTTTTGTCGTATCCTGTTTGTGAATGGTGACGTAATGGTTTAGGAATATATAATGTTTTCTTATAAGAAGTTTTATTAGATGTAGCGGGGTTGGAAGGAAAATTATTCACTGTAGGATTAGTAGAAAGCGAAGAATTTTCAGGGAATTTAGAAATCAAAACATCAGCATATGATTTTGAAGAAACTTGTGGATATTTTTGAGATGCTTCTAGGTATGAGATAGACTTTTGTGCCATTTCAATTTTAATATTATTTTGTCTTGTGTGTTCAGGACATCTAGAATCTGTGGCTTTGTGGTTACCTGAGCAAAATAAGCAACGAAAAGATCCATTATCTTTGTCGCAAGAAGAAGAGGAGTGATCACCTCCACATTTTGAGCATCTTGGCTTGGAACGACATAAATCTTTAGTATGACCAAATCTGCAGCACTGAAAGCATTGGATCGTTGGAAGCTTATAAATTTCAACAGGAATGGAAGAATAGCATAAATAAACCCTCGAGGGAAGAATTTGACCGTCAAATGTGATTACGACACTTTCAGAGCTTTCATATCTGACTTTGTCCTCGTTGCGAACTCTGTAATTTAATCTTCTTACTTTTAATACAGGAATGGTATTTGGATACGAAGATAATTCGGAAATAATCTCTTCTGGTGTCCAGTCTTTTGGTACACCTTTTATAACTCCCATACGAGATACGTGAAATGATGGAATAAAGGTTTTATATTTATCATTTACGGATGGATTCTCTAAAAATAGATTTGCATCAATAAATTTAGAGAATTCAACCGTTATTCTATTTCTCCCGATACGTTTTAGGCCTCCATTAACTATATTTTGTACATTTAATTTTTTCAAAAAGTGACCAAATGAAATGGCATTTAAAGTTTTACCAGAATTAGGAGAGTCTTCTTTTACTTGAACATGAACGATAAAAGGACCTGAATCTGTAGAATTATAAGAACGAAGAGATTGAAATCTTTGTGACTCTATTTTTTTATTATCGTTAACAATATGCGTGTTAAGAGATTTAGAAGAGATATAACTATTGGCAGAATTTAATGTTTGTGATAGAGGAATGCCAGATGATTGTGAAAGAGGGATTTCAGATGATTGTGTACAAGCAATATTGGATGATAAAGACATGGGAGATTTATAAGCACGTTGTCCTGACATATTGATTTTGATAGAGTTAGAGCCTACAATTTTAATTTTAGATGATGAAGTATTACCAGTATCGTAGTCCGATTCTGAGAATGAGGAATTGGTGGAAAAAGCTGAAATTCTTCTATTTATGTCAACCCGATTAGCATGCTCTTCCTTCTTCCTTTCCTTCGTTTTATGTTTTCTTTTCTTTTTGTTTGAAATAATTTTGAAGTTGTCATCAAAAATTTCTTGCGATAATGACTGCCGTGGTTTTTTAAATGAACCTTCTAAATCATTTTCAATTTCCACATAAGCAGCTGGTGAGGAAATAATGTTAGTGTCAGAATAATTCGGATCCGGTGGCTTAGGCGGAATTGGATTAGACATGGCGACCGAGAGACTAAGGCTACGTTAAACTATTTTGTGATAGTATGAAATTGTCGCTAAATGAGATACAATATGAAAATGCAAATAAATATTATTAATATATACTAAAATATAAAAGGAATGTAATCAGAATATTACAAGAAAACTTAAAATAATTAAAATGACAACAAAAAACGCGTAAAACCGTTATTGACGTTCAGTTGACAACCTCTCCTAAAATGTTTTCTTGCCGGGCTACTTTTTTATGAGCATTGATTATTCTTATAGACTTTTTTTTGACATTTTAAAACTTTTATAATATCCGGAGCATTACTCCAAATAGTAATGGCATATCTTATTATAGAATGAATATATATAGTAGGCATAGTACACAGATATGAGTGTCTTTTTATCTATAAATGGCTTTAGCCTAAATAATGCGTAATTACCGCTAGCCATTTTCTTACAAATTTTTTCGATGTGAGCTTTATGGTTTATTGTGCTATCTACTGTGTATCCTAAAAATACTTTTTGTTTTGTAGTCGAGTTATCACGAATGTCTAGCCTTGGTTGATAATGCGTTACAATGCTTTTATTAAAATTTAGAATAATACCATTTGCGCCAAGCTATTCTTTTAGCAAGCTCATAACATTGTTAATTTTATAGTCTAAATTTGATAGTATTTTGTCTCTTAAACCAACATGTGTATCATCTGCAAATAAACTTAAATGTGTATAATCTGGCATTGCATCGCCAAGATCATTAATATAGATCAAAAACAAAACAGGACCCAAGATCGAGCCTTAGGTACTCCAATCGACACAGAACTCGCTAAAGAAGTTTGCTCCTTTACTGAAACAATTTGGCTACTGTTACATAAATAAGTTTTCATCATATTTAATTCACCTCCTTGAAAACCATAATGCTGCAATTTCAATATCATTACATCATGTCGCAAGCAATCAAAAGCCTTTCCTCCTCTATTGGAATTGTCCAACGATTCTAAAATGAAATAAATTACTTTTCTTATGGCCATTTCGGTTGATCGTCCTTTTCTAAATCCAAATTGTGTCGTAGTAAATAAATGATTTTCTTCAAAGTAACTCCCAACAATTCTAGATTTTATAATGGCTTCTAATATTTTTGATAAAGTTGGCAATATACAAACTGGCCTGTAATTACTGAGCTCTGTGGAATCCCCTTTTTTGATTAGTGGAATTACCCTACGCAGTTCGAGTACGTCGGGGAATATGCCATTAACTAAGCAGGAATTGACAACAATAAATATCAACTCGAATAAATTATTGTTTTTTCTAATAAGATTTCTTAATGTTCTAGTGTTCATATCGTAAATGTCTAACGTAGATTTTTGCTTCATACTAGTAACAACCTTTTTAGCTCTGTATAATCTAATGGGTAAAAATAAATAGATGTTAGTGGTCTATTTGAACAATCTAAGTACTTCATGCAGTTTTCTGCGTCAACTTCTAAATTGCTTGTTAATCTATGTGCAATATTGCAGGAAAAATCATTAAAACTTCTTGCAATTTTTTGAGATTCTGTAATAATCTGCCCACTATTGTTTCTTATAGATTCGATTTTAGATTTTGTATTTTGACATTTCTTTTGTCCTATCTGCTCCTTTATAATACTCCACGATTCTTTAATTTTATTTTTGACTCTTTAATCCTGTTATAATATTGTTATTTTTTGCGGCTGTCATTGTTTTTAGCAATAATTTCTTATATTTTTTAATTTTTTTTCTCTGTTCGCTAGGGTAATGTTCTTGTAATATTTCCATTTTAGTTAAGTTTTTTTTTTACTAATACCTAATGTAGTCCATTTTTTTAAGTTTGCTGCTTATTTATTTTATTTTTTTGGAAAAGCAATGTTGTAATAATGATGCAACGCATCTTGTAAAATTCTCATTCTTGTGTTCGCGTCTTCAGTCATTATAATTTCTGATTTAATCACATTGTAATTTTTATTAAACAAATAATTAAATACAAAACATACACTAGTTTCAATTTTTAGATAAATTACAAGAAAAGTTTTTGATAATACACATCCTTTACATTCATTAAAATTACAATAAAGTTATTTATGAAGTAAACTTTTTATTTCGTTTATTTGTTTCGGTTCTAGTTGGTTCGTTTAATATCCATTTACAATTAAAAATTTAAGTATTCTGTCAAGTTTTTTAATATTTGTGTCAATTTTAAAACATTTATGTTCAATTCACCTGCTATTACAATTTGTTTACTCTCTTGACAAAGTTTATTTAAAAGTTTTGTAAGTATTTCAAAGAATAGACTGATATCATATTCAGGTCGGTAAAGTGCAATGATTATTGTTTTTGAGGATTTTAATTCTATCGCTGCTAATTCACAATTCATTTCAAATGATAGTTTATTCAAGTCGTTCCTAATTTTATATTCCAAAGTATTTTTCACATATATCGCCGTTCCACCGTGTTCAAAAACTATTCTATTAAAGCAAGTCGCGAGTGTATTGTTTTCAATAGTCATCGCTTGTATCTGACAGTTTTTATCCCACTTCTCCGTCAAACACAACACGTCGCAGTCCTGTTCATTGGCTAAGCTTTCGATTGCTAAGTATTTTTTTATGTATGCTTCGAACATTCGCATGTAGAACTATCGTTTTCGAATCTGTTCTTAAGTTGTTGAAAAATGTGTACCTTTATCATTTGAGGAAGTGTGTTCGTTTTGGCATTTGATGAAACGCAGTGAAGATGATCCTTGAAACTTGCGGTCTATACTTGTCACTGCATTTTCTATGATGAAGTTTTTCAATAATTTATAGTTCCTTGTATTTTCATATATCATATTCGGGTCCAGAAATTTGATATTTTCGCTATGTTAAGTATCTGATTATTGATATAGTGAATCTCGTTGTCATTCCTGCCATTATAACGCAAACCAATAATTATCATGTTAAATTTCCTATAAGGCAGGTTTACAATATCGTCCAATAGTTTTATGTACTTTTGTTGATTATGATAAAGAGAACTTTCATATTTAGTGACAAGTACTGCTATTGTATCTTTTTTTTCGAGATCTTTAATCTTTTCGCCATAGTTTTCTAATATATTTTGAAATCCTGCGTCCGGTTTACAGTTGTTAATTGCTTGAAATTCAGTTTTTTCTATTATCTTTGACGCCAATCCTTGTCCGATACTATCCGAAAATATTACAATGCTATTGTTTTTTGGATTTTGTTTAGTTTTCTCATTGTATAATCTTGATTTATTTAATATTATAGGCATGTTTGTATTCTCTACTTCTATAGCACTACAGTCTGACTCATCTAACTCTTTTTTCTTTGTCATTTGAATAATGGTTTGATTTTAGTTCATAAAAGTGATGTGATTTCGTGAATTAAGTGTCTGCGCGTGTGAACTGTTAGAGAAAACCACAAAACAAGTGCTTTGATGTTGATCTAAACCTCAAGTTAATTTGATCGCTTGGGCGCCTTATGAACTTGAGTGGCTGTCGTCATCAACAATCCGCTGGGTTGAGCTGTCGTCAAAATCTCCTAAAAAGTTCGCAATGTGACACATCATCATATTGTGAAGAAAAAATATATAAAAGAAGTTTCGAAAGAAATGATAGACTAAGAAGGGCAAGAACCCAGAGCCGTAAAGCCAATTAATAAAAAAAGCAATTGTAAATTACAAATGTGATGACAGATGACAGAAGCAGAACAGTTTGCTCGAGAACATTATTTTTTTATTCCCCTTCGGATACGTATTTGTTTTTTATTGTTAACAACGCCATAATTATTCGAAATGCCATATGCAAATCAACCATCTGTACATATCACAGAGCTAACCGATGACAATGTAAAGTTTGTGGTTGAAGATACTGAGCTTAGTGTAGCAAATAGTATGCGACGCGTGTTTATAGCAGAGACTCCAACAATGGCTATAGATTGGGTACAGTTGGAAGCAAATTCAACTGTCCTAAGTGATGAGTTTTTAGCGCATCGTATTGGCCTAATACCCCTCATTTCAGATGATGTTGTGGACAAAATTCGATATTCTAGAGATTGTATGTGTGCCGATTTTTGTACTGAATGCAGTGTGGAGTTCACACTCGATGTGAAATGCACAGATGATCAAACCAGACACGTGACAACAGCGGATTTAAAATCTAGTGACCCTAGAGTAGTACCGGTCACATCCCGGCACAGAGACGAAGATCAGACAGACTATGGTGAGATTGATGAAATTCTTATTATAAAACTACGTAAAGGACAAGAATTGAAATTAAGAGCATATGCTAAGAAAGGTTTTGGTAAGGAGCATGCTAAGTGGAATCCAACAGCTGGTGTTTCATTTGAATATGATCCTGACAATATGATGAGGCACACTTTATATCCTAAGCCAGATGAATGGCCTAAAAGTGAGCATACGGAACTTGATGAAAACCAGTTTGAAGCCGAGTTTAACTGGGAAGCAAAACCTAATAAATTTTTCTATAATGTTGAGTCATCAGGAGCTTTAAAACCAGAGAATATTGTATTAATGGGTGTTGTAGTATTGAAGAATAAATTACTAAATCTGCAAGTGCAATTAGCACAAGAAGCACATAATGATGCTTTAGCAATAAACTAAAGTTTTAAATAATAATGTTTTATTAGAAATTAAATAATTATTAAGTAAATAATTTTTTTTTCGAGAATCCCTTGTTTTTTATTAATACCTATTTTACTACTGCGTGATGATCCGATAAACCCTTTTAAGGTTTTATAGCTCCCAATATTAAGAAATGGAACATCTACCATTTCATATTATTTATGAAGAATAATACTGGTTCAAGAAGTTTATTTCTCATAAGAATAGAACATTCAATTGTCTGAGAAACATAAGATTGACTTAAAATAAATAAGTATGTTTACATCTGAACAGTTGATGGAGCAACATTATTTAATCATTGAGTAATCATTATTGTAAGAACATTGACAATAACATTTCAAATTCAAAATAACAAAATAAAAATGAGGGTAAATTAAAATCAATTACATTGACAAATAAAAACATTGTACGAGGGGCACACTGAAATGATCGGGAATAAGAAAAACCACATGCACGATATAGCTAAATTGTATTTTATTGTTTTTTGAAGTATTCTCCGTTCAACTTAATGCATTTTTCCATTCGTGCAAACCAATAATTAAAACAGTAATTCCAGTCTTAGTTAAATAATATTGAGGGCTGCCACAAAAATGATAATTTATTTTTTTAATATAACAGCTACTTCTTATGCTTGAAAAATATGGGTTAGGCACTATGGATATACTACATAGTTATATTTTTGTAGTTTACTTATAATATCATCATCACCATTATCACAAGTCCCCTGCTGAACTTAGGCATTCCCCAAGGAACTTATCAAAACATAGTTCTGAGCCACCTGCCAGTGGTGCAGTTTATGGATGACTTTCTGCTTGCCTTACCTGATCATCCCTACATTTAGTTGTGGCCGCCCTGTATAGTATGTTTTGAAAAAAATTTGATACATATATTTTTTTTTTGTTTCTTATTAGAATTTATTGCAGGTACACCTTATAATTATTATCTCTTATATACACAGATCTAGGCCAACTCAAATTCGATCTCCGCCGGCACCAATGAAATTGTTTTAAATTACCACATGTTCGGCTGTAAAGGAAAACATCCTGAGGAAATAAAAAATATTTCTAAAACATGTGAAATCTGCCAAAACGCATTGCGGCAGCGCTGTGGACACTTCCCTAAAACCCTCAGAAATTATGGGAGGGTCGTGCTGTAGGACACAAAAGACAATGTAGAAGGCAAAGTAAAATAAGATACAGCCTATCATGAGTCCAGTGCTGAACACAGGCCCTCATAGGTCACAGGGGATTAGGAAAAATATTTGCCACTTTTAAAAAACAGTGTACAATACCCGGCGATAAATATTGCACATCGACCTTTGGAAAGAGACAATCAGCTAATTTCGGTTTCGTAGAGCGTTATCTCTGTCGCACACTGACAGACGGATTGTTCGTATTTCGTGCGACAGAGATAACGCTCTATGAAATCGAAATTAGCTGATTGTCTCTTTCCAAAGGTCGATGTGCAATATTTATCGCCGGGTATTTTAAGTACAGATGAATTTAACTCAGAAGCACTTCAGAGTTTATTAAATTTGTGAAAATTATTTTATTATTTTTAGTTTCTTGAGTAAACTCTTGTTATTCCACTCTTGGAATAAAATAAGCAATATCATTAACCTTAAGGTGAACAGCTATTCTAGTTTTTAGTTTTTTTTTATTGCCATTTAAATAGTTACATTAGACATTTTAACCCCTATGTTTTCACTTTTCCGTACCAATACTACTTAGAGACCTTCAAGAACAGAGTTTATTCCTTTCTAAAAGGCCGGCAACGCATTTGTAATTCCCCTGGTGTTGCAGTTGTTAATCGTCGGCAGTCGTCACTTACCATCAGGTGAACAGTATGCTCGTTTGCCCACTCTCACATAAAAAAAATCACAAAGCTTTGAAGGCAGGGGCTTTAATTATTCTATACCCTATCTTTGCACCAACTTCAGAAGCTATGGTTAGGTATTTATATTATTATTATTAGTTATTAGAAGCCGGTTTTTACTATTTATTAAAAGCAGAGCATAATTCACCATGTCGTGATGGCGTAAGAGAATCTATTTCCTCATATTATTCCATAGTTGTAAGACCATAAGAATGCCCTTTGAAAAAAAATCCCTTATCCTCTGGCAAATTGCGGTACAACCACGACTAATATTACAAATATAAAATTGGTAAATACCTTAATGAGACGGGCAGTATTGCCGTAATTGCGAGAGGACTGGTAATGTGATCTGTGATCGATCCGATTTCGATGCCTGAGTTGGCGTGGCGGGAGAGATTCGTGTCCAACAGTGGAATAACAGAGTATGCATTCTCCCAAGTCAGTACCCCCAGTTATTTAACGTCTTTTACTGCAACCATTAATCTACCTGCTAACCGTGGTGATTGTTTTGTACATCGTAGGCTGAATATGCCATATTTACCCTACAACGGGAGAAGTGGACTTACTGGCCAAGATAAATGAAAATATTTCCATCTAAATTGTAAAGAGCAGAGACAGCCTTAGTGTTTAATACGGATGTCCAATTAAAACAACGCCAAGAGATATAGAATCTATCGCAAGCTATAAACATGGTAGGAGATAATTTTACAAGTGTTTGCGTGTTCATCAATTGATATGGACATCGTGTTTAATTAAAGATTTAGAATAAGAGTAAGTACGTTACGCAATGATGTCCGTTAGATTTACATAAAAGTAAAAAAATTACAGCCTATATACGTCCCACTGCTGGGCACAGGCCTCTTCTCATTTCTGAGAGGGTTTTAGGGCAAGGAAGTGTCCGCCGCGCCAAATATTTTTATTTTTATTTTTCGAAAAATTTTTTTTATTTATCAGACATGCAAGTTTCCTCACGATGTTTTCCTTCACCGCTGAGTACGTGGTAAATCAGCACTTAAAATTACAATTAACAATTTCATTGGTGCCGGCGGGGATCGAACCCCGGTTGCTCGCTAATCTGACTTTACAGCGAGCGCTAACCATCTGAGCTACCATACAGATTTTCATATTATATATATAACAAGGAGGGAAGCTTCCACATCACTTATATGATTGAAGTGACATAGTGATAAGGATTTTACTCCCTCCAAAGGTATCAAGACTGCAAATAACCGCTCTCCTTCGTTATGGAATCGGAACCTAAAGGCCAAAAATTAAAGTCAAAAGTGCCACTATGTATTAAATTAGGGTAGGGTACCACAGAGGTAAACCACAAAAAGGTCTTGGAAATGCAAAGCGCATGTCAAGAATGAACTACACTTATAAATCGACTTAAGAATAAAACCTATGTGAGCATTTCCTCTATAGTATTTCTGACATTTCTGTCCCCTTTTGTGTCAATTTATTACTTGAAATTGTTTGACTGTCAATAAAATTCCTGTATTTTAGGTATCGTCTCAAATGGAATAGTCCTATGTTTTTGTACACAATTGATCACAATAAATATAAATATAATAAACTTCCATTAAGAAAACGATATGGTAACTTAGTAATAAGATACTAAAATGTATTTAATGTTAAGGTTAAAAACTAATATGAGGTATTTTTCAGTGCGACGTTGATAAGGTTCACATCTTGTCTTTTGCCGAAGTAAAGCAAGCTGCGGAAAGAATAGAAGATGGAATCATACACACACCGCTATGCGTACGAATCAATACTTACAACAATTAGTAAATAAATAGAACAATGTATTGACATTTTATAACTTATACATAACTAAACTTTCAGGAAGCTAAAATTAGCAAATGTATGGATTATGAAATTTATTTGAAATGTGAAAACTTACAATATACTGGCAGGTAGGTAATTAACATTTTGTTTTTGCTTACAATGCTCAGACATTGACTGCGTGAGCAAGTTTTGAAGCCTTTATTTAAATATAAAATATTTAATTAAAATCACTAGCGTTTATTTAGTTGTGCGGAACGTGGCATTCGAAACTTGTTTTGTGCGCGCCATGAAGAACTTTGTACTTGTGGAGTGATCGTTCCCTCAATCGGAGATTTGGCTATAGGCGCCGCATATCATGGTGAATCGTTGGGTATTCAGGTAATTTATATCGAATTAAATAGTACCTTGCGTTATTTTTATATTATATTCTGAGTTCAGAGTCGCTCTTCGAGTTTGTCTGCGTAGGATTTAATATCCGCAATAGAACCAGAGTAACCCACATAGCCCAACGAATTAGTAAGTTGAAGTAGCAAGAGCCCGGCCATATAGCTCTAAAAACCGACAAACAATGGAGAGGAAAGTTTCCCGAGCGGTAGCTTCGTACCTGCAAGCGAAGTTTAGGTCGGCGTCCCACTGGATGGAGTGACGACCTCAGGATAGTGTTTTTTGTAGCATTCCTTGGGGAAGCCTTTGCTCAGCAGTGGACTTGTGAAGGGCTGTTGTGATAATGATTCTTTTTTTGTATATCTAATATGCTACGTGATGTCTTCGTCAGTTACTGTAAACTGATTCTAACGATTATTTTTTAAATAAATGGCTTACATTGAAGTGTTGGTCCCTTCCCTCTCTAAGGTTGCGAAAATAGGGCATTAAACTATTAATATAATTTGTACATGGTAGAACCATGCTGAGATATATTATGGTTGTAGCAATAATGGGTCGGCTCGACCGGGGTAGGACCACGCTCTCATACAATACCAGCGTAAAATAGCAACTTAATGCTGCTGTGTTTCGTATGGTGAGTATAGAGAACCGGGGACCCTTTTTACTGAAAACGAGGCATTCCATCTTAGTTCTCAGAGTCAACAACGCATCTGCATTTTGATTCTTAATCGAGAATAAATGGAGATGTCTATGAGCCACAGTCTCCACTTTCCATCAGTTCGACTAAGTGCTCGTTTGTCATCCTTATTCTTAAATAATAAAAAAAAAAAAAAACTATTTAGACGACATTCTAGTAAGTACCTTTAGCTTGTGACATTACTTAGACCAATGAAAAGAAAAAAAATTAACTTCGACAGAATCCGACTTCAAAGAGCTAAAAGAAATAAAATAATTTGATATTCTGAGGGCTTTACGTGAAATCCTTTTCAAACCGACTTTTATTTTATTTTATTCAATTTTGTTGCACAAAAATGTACAAAGGCGGGCTTAACGGATTTTATTTTGTATTAAAATTTTTATTATTGTGGCTCGGCCACACTATGCTCCTCGCGCTGCTCATCGCTCTGCACCTTGCGCTGCTCATCACTCTCCTCGCACTGCCGCGATGTTGCCCTGTCTGTCCAGACACTGGACGTTATGGCTAATTATATCAATATCATAAAAAGAAATATACATCGTCGTCGTCGAGATAGCTTTTTCTCTGTATATAATTTACTCATGTGATCATATGACTGAATGATGATGATGAAGATGATCATCATCATCATCATTACAGCCCTTCACAAGTCCACTGCTGAACATAGGCCTCCCCCAAGGTATGCCACAAAACATAAAAGAATTATGATGATAGACACATTATTTATGACTTTTAAGTGACACGTGACGTGCTTCCGTAACGAGCGCCAGATTCGGATTGCGTTTGCGCGAGCCGCGAGTGTATGGTCAGCCACTATCGCTCATATTGCCAGTACTTTGACTCGCGCCCAAAAAACCGACAAAACAGGGAGCGAAGGGGTTGATGAGGAGCATGACTTACGGCCTGACGAGTATTGTGGCCGCTACTTCCCATGCCACTCGACGAGTGTGTGGCCGGGGGCTATATTTTATAAAGAGATGATTATATTTCTTTGTCGTAATATAATATATTTTAATAATTTAAATTGTACACTATCCAGGTGACTGTTGTCCTTCCCGATCGAACGCCTCCAGCACTAGCGCAACGTTGTTCTGAACTTAGTGCGGACGTAGTGATATGCGGTGAAACTCTAGAGGATTCTACTAACTATGCTAAGAAAGTGCACATGGAAACTGGGCAGATATTACTCAAGTAAGTTCACGAGATAATAATAATTATAATATATATAAATAAATATAAATATACTGATAATAAATATTACGAGAAATGTTTTCCTAATATCAACAAACGTAACATTGTATGATGTTAGAAACTGTGGATATAGACAGTGGCGTAACTATACCGTTAGAAGCCCGTGGCAAATTTATCGGATGGAGCCCTCTCCCTCTTCCACTCAATATAAAATAGATTGACCATAGTTAAATATGTTATTTTTATTTTATAATAAATCATTACGTTAAGTTAGCCAATAATTGTTTGTTATGTGTTTGTTACAAAACTTGATAAAATTCCAGGAAAAATCGTGTCTTTATTTATTTCCTATCTTAAAAAAATGGCTGAGGTAGTGAAGAGTGAAGACTAACCGATTTCCTGCGCGATGTTCTCATCAAAATTCGGCCTGCCAAACAAAGCGCGATGACGTAAACATTCTAAAGTTGTTCAAAACGACTATAAATCAATAGCACGCTACAGACTATAAACTAGAAATTTCTAGCGCGCTATTAAATACGCTATGTTACAGCGCGCTCTTTATTAAAAAGTGTGTAGGAGGCCGGCAAGCGCGTTAAGTTTAGCAGCACGCTATATATCGGAGCACGCTACATTACATGTCGTTCATTGGATAGACCGCGTGCTATATAAGAACATTGTTTCCTTCGATCATTGGTATTGTTGATCGAAGATTGTTTCGTAATAAGTCGCATTTTAGATTAAAATAAAATAAAGTGGTAAAGAAAAATCAATGAACGCTCTTTCATACTTTTCAGGCTTACGACTTTCTATAATCCTAAAAATATTTTTAAGGCGTGTAGCGTGTACTTTTTGAAACAAAATAAAATTAATCATTTTTTATTATAATTGATGTAAACGTTATTTTAACCTTAATATAAATTATAAATTAATTAAAGATGTATTTAAAAGTTTATTGATTGTATATACAAAAATCAACTATTTACAAACATTACACGTTACACTTTTGTATCTATATTTTATTTACATTTTAAAATAATTAGTTAGCCTTCTTTTGTAGCAGACAACTGTGTCCTTCGATCACTTATAAATATACAGTATACACTAACTAAATAACGTCTAACACTAAATAAGTTCGCGCGCGATGAATAGCGTGCTGCTAGATTAAATTTGCGTCACACGTCTACTCCCAACAGCGCTGCTGCTAGAACTAATTGCCACTTGATATGAATAGCGCCAAAGCGTCGTAGCGTCATAGCGCCATGGCGACTACTAACATAGCACGCGCTATGCGTTATAAAGAGATCGCTCGCTATAATATGGCGCTATGCGCTATATTAACCACCATTAAAACATTCACGTCTCGCCGTGCACTAGGGAACTTATGGGCTCGGTCACACTATGCTTCTCGTGCTGCTTATCGCTATGCTCTTCGCGCTGCCACTAGGAAAAAAAGAAATATAAATTATTTGTATAGTTGATAGATGTATAGATCTATCAACTATACAAATAATTTTTTTAAGTGTGTTTGTAATGTCAAAATAACAGCTTTTTACTAAATGCATGTGAAAGAAAGTACATTACTTATAACAAAAAATAATTTTAGAATTTTTTGTCTGTCTGTCCGTCGATTTGTCTGTTTGTTCTTGCGTAACTTATTTTCATTAAGTATTTATATGATGTCTAAATTCACTCATTTAAAGATCAAATAATAAGTGAGTAAAATATTCTTCATGATACATAGATACATTTAGCAAGGAAATATATCTTAATACCTAAAATATGCCAAAAATTTTTCACAACATATATTTTTTTTAAACAAGAAGCTGTTAGTGTGTCATGGACATTTGGAAGATATTAGTAAGAAGACTAATTCGTTATAATATATCTTATAGTTCTATCTATAGCGGTTAACGCTGAATACGCCAAGAAATATAATTTTGTTGGTGAATTTTAGCACCATGCATGGAAAAACTTTAGTTTAGGATAGTTTTTTCTTTTATAGCGTAAATTCTAGGTTGTAATTTATAATGCTCCTAGTTACTATATATATAAAAGTCACTTTTATAATGTTAGAAGGATTTAGTAGGATGTAATTCTCTGGGCCAACAGAGGTATTATTTATACTAAGTATATAGTATCTGTGGTACTATACTAGAAAACCGTTGCGCCCCATAGCTAGTTTGTCCTCGCTGTACTTCGCTCCTATAATTGGTCGATCTATTGCCACTACCAACTTTCTAATCGGCATGTAAAGTACTTTAAATTGAGATGCTGGAAATTAAATGTTCCCTTATTCACTTTCCAAAATTTAAACATTATTCGTTTTAGCCCAGACGATCCGGATGTGATGGCGGGCTTGGGAACCGTGGGTATGGAGATCATCACCCAACTGCCGGAAGCGGATGCGGTGATTGTGCCAGTTGCCAGCGGCAGTTTGCTCGCCGCCGTGCTCGTCGCCTGTAACAAACTCAAGTGCTCCTGTCTCGTATATGTATGTTGTTTCTCTGATTACAGAATTAATAAGGGCATCCACGACTTTTTCTACAGGACGGCGCGGCGCCACGTATGAATGAGTTTGACAGATTCCATAACGGGGAAGTCACACAAGTTAATTTGTTAGAAAAGAGTAGATTATTGTTTTCTTCTGAAATATTATTATAATTATTATATTAATTAGATAAGAAATGGATTAACCAAACTACGTATAGATATTTATAAAATTAGAAAAATTAAAAAACGGTAACAACGTGTAAAAAATATAGAATACAGCACTGAGGCATTTTTTTGTGTATAATATGCCTTAGAAATCGAGTTTTTTTAATCGCTACTTTTTGAATGATGATGACACTGATCATTTGCGTAACAAATAAGTTCACTTTGGTCCCAACTGGCGACATCTGGTGAGCATAAGATAATGACCCATACCGCCACTGTTACTGCTCCTGTCGCTGCCAGAAATATTTCCCTAAATACTTCTGCGGCGATAACGACGCAAGTGAGTGTTTACTCTCAGTCTTCATACTTCCTTATTGATCAACTCGCAACAGTGACTGACTTCGAATTTGTTGGTGTGACAGCATTATGTCTGCTCAGTATAAGTAGCTACTACGTGCAATTTTTTATCATGAGGATCCCATATTACCCGCTCAATTTCATAAATTTCTAAATTTTTTTTATTTTTATAGAAGAGGGGGCAAACGAGCATGCGGCTCACCTGATATTAAGTGACTACCGCCGCCCATGATCAACCGCAACCAGGGGAATTGCAGGTGCGTTGCCGGCCTTTTAGAAAGGTGTAAGCTCTTTTATTCAAACAAGGGGAGTGCCTTGAAACTGGGTAGATACGACAAAGGGGTTCTTTTTAGCGGTTAACGCGCAAACTTGTGTCTTCTGTGGGTTAAACTGGACTAGATTTAGTCGCCCCCAATCCGAGACTCTGTTCAGCAAAGACTGACTTCAGACACAAGTTTGTACCGGTACTCGGAGACGTTTTCCCGAGAAATATTGGCACGGCCAGTGTACAGAGCATCACCAGCTCGTCATCTGCTGTCATCTGCATAGCAATGAATGTTACGGGTTTGCAACCTATCATTGATATGCAGAAGAAACAGCGTTGGCGATACCACGCAGCCTTGTGGAACACCAGCATTAATAGGCTTGTAATCGGAGCTTGCACCGTCTACAACGACCTTGATGCTCCGATCTGCAAGAAAGCTGGTGATCCAATCGCACAATTTCTCTGAAAGCCCATAGGAAGGGAGCTTCGAAAGAAGCGCTTTGTGCCAAACCCGATCGAAGGCCTGTCCAAACTAACGGCCAATGCCTCCCCCTTGGACTTTACTGCCTCCGCCCATCTTTGAGTTAGGTAGACCAGAAGATCACCAGCTGATCGACCACGGCGAAAACCGTATTGACGGTCACTAATCAGCTGATGATTCTCAAGGTACCTCATGAGCTGGCAGTTAATAATAGACTCCATTGTTTTGGAGAACAAGGAGGTGATGGAGATAGGCCGGTAGTTGGACGGGTCTGAGCGGTCGCCTTTTTTAGGGATCGGGTGGATGAAAGCCGTCTTGCATGATTTTGGAACTACGCCTAGGGAGTAGGAGTACCGAAAAAGACGCGTTAAAACCGGTGCCAACTCTGGAGCACACGTTCTCAGCACGATGGGGGGGATTCCGTCAGGCCCACTCGTCTTGTGGATGTCCAGGTAGAGGAGTGCTTTGCGAATCGCACGCTGTGTAAACTGCACTTCCGGCATGGAGCACTCACACCGCAGGATGGTCGTCGACGTACTCCCCCCGTCGTCGAGACTCGAGTTGGACGCAAAGAAAGAGCCTAGCAGATCGGCTTTCTCCTTTGCGGTATGTGAGTCGTCCTCCCTGTGCAGAGATGGAAGAGATGGTTGACAGAAATTCCCCTGGACAGCCTTGGCGAGAGACCAGAATGTACGGGTTCCAGAAGGAAGGCGAACTAGTTTCTCGCCAATTCTGCCTATGTGTTCTGACTTTTCCTTGGCAAGGACTTTTTTGAAGGCCCTGGAGGCGGAATTATACTTCTTTTTTAGAGCGCTGGTGTTTACATCCTGGGACGTTGATGCGTCAGCCCAGGCTTGGTAGCACTCCTGCTTATAGCATGATGCTATTTTACAGGAGCGACCAAACCACGGCTGAGATTTGCCTCCAATGGGCACCTCAGAGGAAGGAATAAAAAGTTCCATACTCTGAAGTACCACATCGTTGGGATCGTCCGGCGAGAAGCAAACACGCCCCCCAAGGGTAGGATGCAAAGAAAGACCACATCCCATCCCAATCGGCTGACCTATAGTGCCAAACACGGCGGCAGCCTGCAGAATGTAACTGCGATTTCAGCGTGAGTGGCACCACACTCCGGACAAGACAATGGTCCGAGAAGCCTAAAGGGGCGTCGACGGAAATCTGATATCCGTCCGGGTGAGAGGTCAGCAGAAGGTCCAACAGGGAAGGTGCATGATCCTCCACATCTGTAATCCGCGTAGGCGAAGTAACCAGTTGTGTCAGACCAAATGCCAAAGCAAAATCATGAGCAGATCTCCCCGCATGATCGGTTAAGCGTGAACCAAGCCATTCGGCATGATGGGCGTTAAAGTCGCCGAGGATCACGATCTCTGCGGAGGGGATCTTCTGTAGCAACGAATCTGTAGCCATTTGGACGTGGTCGAAGAGTCGGTATGTTTCGGCATTACCGCTATGGGACCTATAGAGGCACCCGTAGACGCGCGGATGGTCGTCGCTGTCTACGCGTAGCCAAAGGATGGACAGGTCCGAACCTTCAAGTCTGCCGAGGCGTCGAGAACAGATGTCCTCTCTGACGTAAACGCAAACTCCAGCCCGAGACATAAAGGAGTGTTCCAGTTTGTACCCCGCGTAGGAGAGATACGAGACATCAGCCGGAGAGGACACCTGCGTCTCGGTTTTTTTTTTTAATAGAAGAGGGGGCAAACGAGCATGCGGCTCACCTGATGTTAAGTGACTACCGCCGCCCATGATGAACCGCAACACCAGGGGAATTGCAGGTGCGTTGCCGGCCCTTTAGAAAGGAGTAAGCTCTTTTCTTGAAGGTCCCCAGGTCGTATCGGTCCGGAAAAATCGCCGGTGGTAAACTATTCCACAGAGAGGTTGCACGCGGAAGAAAACTCCTTTTGAAACATACAGTGTGGACCGCCAAGCATCCAGATGGTGTGGATGGTATCAGGACGTTTACCGCGTAGTGCGTTCACGAAATTTGGCGGCTGGGATTAATCCGAACAATTCCTCAGAGCACTCTCCTTGGTATATGCGAAAGAAAATGCAAAGAGATGCAACATCTCTTCGCAGCGCCAGTGAATCGAGCCGATCGGAAAGCACTCGGTCGTCGACGATTCGAGCCGCTATGCGCTGGATGCGGTCATGTGGAAGGAGCTGGTACTGGGAAGCCCCAGCCCAGAGATGGGAACAGTATTCCATGTGCGGCCGAACCTGTTCCTTGTAAAGTTGCAGGCGGAGTGCCGGCATGAAATACTGTCCCGCTCTGCTGAACACGCCAAGCTTTTTAGAGGCTAATTTGGCTTCTCTTCCAAGTGACCACTAAAAGGTCAGGAAGTGAGTCAGAAAGAGCAGATCTGGCCTCGCCGTCTCGAGATGGTAGTGGACGGCGTTTAGGTTAGAGTGAAGTCCCCTTATATTGCAGAAATTCACGGATAGCGTGGCAGGGGTCGCCTTGGTCTTGATGCTCCATTTGCCCCGAACAGTTGTAGTCTTGAGCGGAATTTTGCCCCCCCCCCCCCCCCCAGAATACGCGGGGCATCCTGAGCACCCACGCTCAGGAGTGGAGTAACTTGGTCATGGATGCTCAGCGAGGGGTTCTCCAGGGGTGCTGGTACCCTCCTGGGGTAGATCTTCACTTAATTCCGCTACCATGTTAAGAAAGGGGGGATTTGGGCCTCCGGCCACCTGCACTCACCAGACGAAACGCGGAAGCAGAGCTTCCACTTCACGCCGGTATTCTGTGAGGTCGTGGTACCACCCCTGTTTGAGCCGGCCCATACGTGCAACAGCAAAGCTGCCGCGTGGCTCTACCACTGTTAAAATTTTTTTTCATTACTTTACTTTTATCATTACTAAATATCATTAAAACACAGGACAGATTAATAAACGAATTGCCGTTTTTAAACGTAGCACGTTCTTTCTCGGTCGAACTTCGGTGGCAAGTGAGCGAGAATATAAACACTCGTTCCCGCTTGCGCTGCTCGTCCTTTGACTTCCGCGCGAAAAACACAATCGAGGGATCGCCGGGCAGTGGCAGGTGGCAGCGGCATGGGCAGGACAGCGCGAGTATCCTATTTATGTACATACTCGCGCTGCCCACTTCGGAGCCCAACAAGGCTGAGTGTAAATGGGGCAATGTAGATTACTGAAGAATACTTGTAGAATGTGACTTTATTACTTCTACTTACTACCTACTCATTCGAAACAAACACTGGTCTAGAAAGAAACAGTATAAACCCAGTGGGAATATTTTTAACTTAACATTTTACGCTTAAAAAGTTGTGCAATTATTAAAGATTTTTTGGGATTAGAACGTGATATTACTTTCTAATCAATAAATAACTGCTTATTTCTGTCATTAAAGGGGGCGGAATGCGCAAAAGTTCCAAAAATGATGAAAGCGTGTCAAGCCGGACACCCAATAGGAGTGCCCGTAGTGCCGAATCTCGCCGAAGGTCTCAACACATGCATAGTTGGCAGAAATGCCTTCGCTACTATCAAAGGACGACTTGACCGAATGGTACGTAATAGATAGATACTAAAGCTAACATTTTGCTGTACATAATAATGTATTATGATTTCTTTTTGCAGGTAGTCCTACTTTTTTCCTTCCGGTACCTTCTACTTCTTGATTACCAACAAAGTACCTATCTACACCTTTTATTCCATTATATTATACATATACAGGTACACTGATCCATTCACTGCAAATGTAACTTTGTAATCCTATATATTTATATGGGATTACAAAGTTATTTATGCAGTTAGTGTATCTAGAAAACTGGACCGAAGTTGAAAAATATTTTAGTTTTTCCTTGATTTATACACTAAACACTAATTGTTTTCTAAGTTTGAAGCTTCTATGTCTGCTAGAAGTGCCTTAGAGTTTTGATGATCGGTCAGTCAGTGAATGACAAAATTGGGAAACTTTGACTAATTATAATTCCTAAACTATTGGTTCAAATTGAATGAAATTTAAAATATACTGTGTCTATACAATGCTTGCTTGGTTTCTGAAAATTAAGGTTTCTAGTTATATCCACAACGAAATTATAGGGGGTCAAAAATGGCCTGATTTGCTTCGAGAAAAGTATGATGATGATGATGATGTTGATACGGCCGTGCCGCTTTTTTGCTCGACTTGGCGGGGGCACTGCCGTGCCCCCAGATATAATATTATGTCGCACTTTGCTCAAACGACCAAGCTAAACAAACGAGAAACAACTGCAACTCACACTAATTAACCTGAATAATGATGAAAACCTAATTCTTAATCCCCAGTTCGTCCCAGCCCTCGTCTCCAAAACTGGACCGATTTCAATTGTTTCTAGATAATTACAAACAAGATTGATGTTGTATGTGTGTTCTTTTAATGTTTTATGTTATGTTGAATGTTTAATAACTTTTAAAAATTTAGAAGGTACTTAATCAAAAACGGAACAGGAACATGGTGGTGGTAGATTTTTTTTTAATAGAATAACGGTGACAAACGAACACACAGTCCACCTGATGGTAAGTGAGTGCTGAAGATATCTGCATTTATTCTCGAAGTATCAAAAGGCGAATTCGTTGTCACCCCTGAGGACTAAGATGCAATGCCTCGTTTCTAGTAAAAAAAATCTCCGGATCTCTACACTCACCATACGAAACACAGTATTAAGCTGCTATTTTACGCTGGTATTCTGTGAAAGTGTGGTCTTTTCCCGCTTCGAACCAACCCATTCGTGCTGCAACTATAAATTATGCTCAAGCATGCTCTACCATGTAAGAAAATATTTGCTCTAGTATCGTTATTCTGAGAGAAAACCTTTGAAGTAACATGCCGTGTTACTTCAAAGGTGTTGCAAACTAACTTTTTGGCGCTATTTGCAACACGCTTTAAAAGTCCGCGGTCATTACTGTCGTAAGAGACGACTATGGGAAATGCAGTAAAAATCTTATGCCTTCCGATAAAATGTCAGTAGATCATATCGCTTACGTCAGAAGTTTAATACTCGGACCAGTGATGGGCGGCAGTGCCAAGGTGCGGATATAGTACTGCAATCGTTAATCCGAGATAAATCTTACTTAGGGGGCGTCCATTAATTACGTGAGTTGTTTAGTCGGTCGAGTCGACTCTCACCCACGTGGAAGTACTTTTACTATACTCACTTGGCAAGTATTACGTAATTTTTTTCCGCAACAAAGCAAGAAGCGGTGTGTAATTTCAAGAAAATTGGGTTAAATTAAGTAAAATGGGACTATATTATCCTACACGTTAATATTTATCGCAGTTGCGAACTTAAATAATTATAAGTATATTTTTTAAACCCAACGCAATTAAGCAGCATTGCGGCACGTTAACGTATTTACACTAAAACACGCATATTGAAAAATCTCACGTGAGAATGGGGAGGGGAATGAGGGGATCGAGCCATATTTCACGACATATCACCAGGGGGAGGGGAGTATAAAAAAATCGCCAAAATCACCTCACGTAATTAATGGACGCCCCTTACAAGAGGGCCATATCCAACAGTGTACTTTTCCGGGTTGATGAAGATGGTGTTCATTTTAATATATTTTATTACTAAATACTGCACCCCAGTTAGAAGTCGACGAGTCATATATTGCGCGTGCAATTATAACGGTGCTGGAGCGCGAGCGGCTAGTGGCGGACGGCGCGGGCGTATGTTCGCTCGCCGCTGTCATACAAGGCCTGGTGCCAGAACTTCGCGGAAAACGGTAAGAAAAAGCTACATGCATTAATCCTTAGCTAATACTGCTAATAAAATATGTGCAAGAAGGTTTTAAAAGGCGGCTTATAAATTATGTCGTCTATACTTCTAGGCGCGGTAATTACGCGCGACCGGGGAAGGCAAAAAATAGTCATAATGCTACTATTAGTAAAAGTACTACAATGAATGTACTGATAGATCTGGAGACCCTTTTTACTGGAATCGAGACAATCCACCTTAGTACTCGGCAGTAACAACGATTTTGCATTTCTTTCATATTAATTAATTTGAGGATAGATGTAGATGAGACCAGAGCCGCAGCATCCATTAGGTGGAATGTATGCTTTTTTGTCAACTTTATTCCATAAAAATTCAATCTTGCATTTAAAATGATAAGTAATGAAAGGTAAAGAGAGAAGCAAATATGTCAAAAAATGACGAACCAAAACCAATACCTTCCTTCGTTTAATAATAGCTTTAGTTATAATTTTTTGTTACTGATAAGTAATAAGAAATCGTTAAAAAAATATTCTTTAGACTTCAGTCTGAATTAATAAAAAACTGAAATATTTTTTTAGTATTAAATATAATAATGTCCTCCAGACCGAATTTCGGCCACGGCGGCCTGCCTCAACGTAGGCTATAGCCAACGGCGCAGGACAGGATTATAGTGCCCAAGTGTATGTGCAAGCACAGGTGCACTCTATTCCCTCACACTCATAATCCGATGGGACGGTAAACCGACACGACCGGAGAGAGATCAGGCGCAGGACCAACGGCTATACGTGCTTTCCGAGGCACGGGGGTGAGACACCGCCAACTTCCTGACTCCGGGCAGCTACTGAGAATTTCTTGACAGAAAAACTCAATAATTGATTTTTTGGCCCGACCCGGGATTCAAACCCAGGACCTCGTGATCAGCGGTCCTAGTACTACAACCGCTAGACCAACGAGGCAGTCAGTATTAAATATATCTAATCGAGATTGAATTTACATACTGGCACACTGTGCCAGTATGTAAAGCCAGTTTGCATAACCTGGTAAGTATTACCATCCGTTACCGTTACAGCCTATTAAAGTCCACTGCTGAAAATAGGCCTCCCCCATGAATTGCCTCATAGGGGGGATATTTGTCATAAGTAGTTGCCACACTTAGCAACCGCAGTTTTTTATTTTTAATCGTTATTAGAAAGACCATAGAATACTATAATACACAATAGAATGGCTATCAACTTTACTTTGTACGAGAATTGGCGTCGCCAAAACCGATTCGCAGTGTTGACAGACTGGGTAAATTTACACATTTTAGACTTACTCACGCACACTTTAATATCTTTTTTGTGGCATTGGGTGACAAACAAGTTCACAGTTCGCCTGACGGTAAGTGGATGCTGTGACCCATAGACCCACATTTATCCTCAACTAAAGATCATAATGTTCAAGATCATCATTTAAAAAAATCGTTTAAATTATAATACATATTTATCTGTAAATAGGGTGCAATTTGGCATTTTATAAATTTGCATACGAAATTTGGAAACGATTGTAACGTCAAAACACATCTCGTGTTGATATTAATACGTGTGAATTGACGTGTTAGTGACATTTTAGTGGCTACGCGGGCTCCGCCCACTCCCCCGTTTTATTAGGTATGTATTATAGTATTCTATGAGAAAGACTACTACCGATCTCCTGATTTGTTTCCTTCTGTCGTCCTTTACGACACCCACGAGATGATAATATAGGCTAGCTTCTTCTTTCATCTTTAATATTTAACCTACCAGTTTTGTGATAAATTTAGGTTGTAACATCATTGCAGTACCGTGTGTATAATAACTGGAGGAAACGTAGACTCCAGCCGTCTAGCTCGCACGATACATCGCGGTCTAAGCGCCTGCGGTCGTTTGCTTCGTTTCGCTGTGCCTCTTGCCGACAATCGGAACGGTCTAGAAAATCTCGCCAAGATTATATCCGACGAGCACGCGGTCATGAAAAGTCTTGTCACTGAGCAGATGTGGGTGCAGAGTGACGTTGGGACCACATGGGTATGTCTTCGAATATGACTCATATTTTAGGTTTGTTGCAATGTAAAATATACAATGGGGGTGGTTTTTTTTTTTGCGCCCGAAGCAAATATGGGCAACCCTCCGGAAAGCGGGGGGAGGGAGGCGGTGAATGCTCATAGCATACCACGCAGCCGGCTGCGTGGTTATGTGGAGACTTTTACCCACTAAACACCGCCTTTTAGGAAATGGCTTAACGATCTGACTAGAGATCTCTAAGCCGTATACGAACGCGACCCTCCTTGGCAGAAAGGAGGGCGCAAGCGGCGAAGAGCCGCTTAGAAGAGTGCCTAACTAAGGCAGATTAATGGATGTGTTATGGAGGCTCGGCCCGAGCCGCCAGGAGGCAGTTCAGGTCAGCCGAAAGCTTGTTGGGGGGGACTGGGGGTGGTATATATATATATATACGAGGGCGGCACTGAAAATTTCGGGAATCAAGGAAGTGACACAACATTGCTAAAAATGTATTTATTGCTTTTCGAAGTATTCTCCGCGAAATTCGACACATTTTTCCATACGATGGAACTAATCATTGAAGCAACCATTCCATTCGGAAGTTGGGGTCTCCAAAATTGCCGTTTTGTAGGCGTCTACAGCTTCTTCAGGTGAAAATCTCTGTCCACGCAATTCATTCTTTATTTTAGGGAAAGTATAGAAATCATTAGGGCTTAGGTCGGGGCTTTACGGCGGATGGTCTAATCATTCATGTTTTCTTGCTCTAAAAACTCTTTTGTTCTGTGTGCGCTGTGAGAACTCGCATTGTTGTGATGGAGGATGATGCGGCGGTTGCAGTTCTCTTTACGGAGATCAGAAACGACCTGTGGCAAATTAACCGTTCTTTGTCCCTCAAGAGGAATAGTCGTAACATGGCCGGTTTTGGAGACAATCGTAGCCACCATTTTTTTTTTTGCAACACTCCGTGAACGAACAATTTTTGTTGGCTTTAACTCATTTTCGAACACCCAAACTCGTGACTGGTTTTTTGTTTCGGGTTCGTACGCGTATATCCAGGTTTCGTCACCAGATACGATGTTGTATACAGCATTTGAGGATCCTGCGTGGAATCTTTCGAGAGTTCTGACGCACCAAGTAACGCGAGCCGCTTTTTGCTCTTCACAGAGCGAATGCGATATCCATCGGGAAAACAACTTTTTTACACCTAATTGTTCATGCAAGATTATTTTTATTTGACTCATGCCAATGTCTAAAGTTGCCTGAATTTCGGTCACATGTCGATCTTTCTCAATCAGCTTACGCACGCATCAACGTTTTCTTGGGTGACTGCAGTTTTTGGACGACTTTGACGGGGATCATCACTGAGCTTGACACGTCCACGTTGAATATCAGCAAACTAGCGATAAATTGTGGCTTTGGATGGGGCTTCATCACCAAATGCAGAAATCATCCGGTCAACACACTGTTTTTGTGTTAAACCACTTCGAAAGTCATAATAAATCATCGCTCTTGAATTTTCTCGAGTCAATTCCATTTTCTCAACGACTAAACAAGTTTGACAAAACCTTGTGACAAGACCGAGAATCTTTTTTTTAAATAAATAAATGGTATTCGATTTTTAAAACCAAGGAGTTTTCAATTAAAAAGATTTTAATATGACAGGAACAGTGGAAATATTCCATTCCCGATACTTTTAGTGCAGCCTAGTATATATGTAAATATACATTGTCTATAGTGGGGCCAATATTCGGCTTTGCCCAATCGGTAATTTATAGTAGCATTGGGGACGGGGACCAACATTGTAGTGTAGAGAAAGAAAGTATCTTCGCTCCATAGGTAGGTTTGCTGTGTGATATTATTTGCAAAAAAAAAGTAAAAACACATGTAAGATAAAAGGATGTTGGGTGATCACGTGGATAAGTTTGTGTCCATATTTAGCAGGTATAGTATCCATGACAAGGCTACAGAACTAAGAGAGTGAGTATAGGCATAGAGTGAAATCTATTGTGGTAGGTCAAAATAGGCCCTTACGGTAATATACAATAATGTATTAATTTATAATTTAATGAATGAAGTCGTTAGTAGTGATGTAACGAATACTACTTTTACGAATATCAAACGTACTATTCCGCGAATACGAATATCTCGCCATGGTATAAGTAACTAATTCATTTGATGATTATCTATTGTTATAAAAATTAACAATAGGCAAATTTTTACTTAAAAAACATAAAATTTGTAGATTTTCTTGTTTTAGGCGGAGTCTTTTTAGTTTGGATGTTGCCAGCCGTTGAAAAGAGCCTTTCCGAGGCAACTGTACATGGTTTCAGTGAAAAATATTTTAGGCCAGTTTTTTCAGTCTTGGAAAATGGAAATCTCGCCAAAAGGGCAATGTATCAGCAGTCGGCGATGAATTTGGGAGCTCTAGATAAGCATCTCGTTTTTAGTTTGCGAATCCTCTGTAAAATATTTTGAAATTAAATTTTACTTTTACTATGTAGATAACAATGAGTACTATATTTATCTGATATCGATATGATTTATCGAAGTGTTTCCATTTTGATCTCGTTTACGAGAAGACATTTCAACTTCAACTTCTTTCTTTCACTTCACAAAACAATTAAATTTAACAATGCTCTTTTGCTTGACCTATGCTTCCGTTCGACTGTCAAATGAAATGAATGAATCATTCCAGGGTTCGTATTGATGGGGAAACTCCCGGAGCTGGGGAGTCCTTACATCGTATTTTTTACGCATCGACGACGCGCATTTTCCAAGCCTGCCAGTAATTAGAGTTGCGTACAAAAATATTGGTTTTTAAATATACGTGATTAGTATTCGCGGAATACGAATATTCGGTAAATGTCTACTATTCGGCGAATACGAATATTCGTATTCGTTAGATCACTAGTCATTAGTGTATTATTTATGAGTAATCATAAAGTGAGAAATTGTGTGATGTGGTTTTCAATACATTGTGACCAGGATTAAGAAAGGAATGCTTCGGTGTTTGGACACGTAGAACAAAGCAAACTTATGCTGTAGGAGTGAGTGGCAGTCTTCAAGCGGCAAGTGATGCACCAGAATAAATTTTAAGTTTGGCGATATGTTGAATTAAAGATGGGTCATGTTAAGAGTACCCTTAACCAACAAGCATGTAATCGTAGATGATACGTGGATATAAAAGAAGCGAGAGGTGTGCCTGGACTGCATACTCCTCTAGGTGGCAGGCAATTAGGCTTGGGTAAAAAAATATATAATTTTGTCTGTACTTTCTCCAAAAATATCGATAAATATCTTCGATATATTTTAATCGCAATATCAATATTTTAAAATATCGATTTCGTATTCAAGATCTATCAAACTTCGATATTTCTTAAAACGATATATTTATTTTAAAACATTAAAAACGATTTAGCAAGAAAAGAAACTAAATGAATTTTCATTCATCGTCCAAACGTCCAGTAAGAAAATTCTGAAATATCGATATTTTAGTCGCAATATCAAATTACTCTTGCCTAAGCAACTACAAAAAGCTTCATGTGCTGTTTTTTTCGCCACCCAAACGTCCAGTAATTAAATCTTACCCTTCATCCTACTACATCATGCAAAACATCACATTAAATCGACATTTCTGAAACATACATCGAAACTATTAAAAACATCGATACCTAAATTTTTTTCAATTGCTCATCCTAATGAAGTTATTTAATTTTTTTTTCAGGCTAATGTTGTAGTGGAGACTGCAAATGACGAACATTCGGAAAATTTCAAGGATCGCATACGTCATTTATTTCCATCTGCAAGATTTGCTGTCATGGACCTTAATGACAAAAAATGTAAACGTTAATATTTTGAAATTATATTTGTGATATGTATTAAATTTAAAAAAAAAAAACATTGTCAATACATAAACCGTTGATATTTTGTGCATACTGTAATATGGATATTTGGAATAATAAAATGAAACTATAAATTTTGTATTTTTTTTTAATGTTAAGCCTTATACATTAAGCTACAGGGTCATCACCCTTTGTTGCTCGTGTGTAGATGACTTGTCCGTGGTGTTGCACTACCTGCTTTATTAAACCTGTGAAATAAATAAAACAAATATGATGTATTACTTACATTAAGGTAAAATTTACAAGGCAATTTCAACAGAGTAAATCAGACTCAATATATCAGTATTTTTACTATCATGGCTTATCCAGAAATAATGATCATCATATTATATGGTTGCCAGCAAAACCATTGTTAATAACGTACGGGGGGGGGGGGGGGGTTGGTGCAAGAAGCCCTCCCCCCTTCCTTTCCCCTCTTGCGAAAATGTTTACTTTCTGAGTAATGATTTTTTTTGTAAAATCATAATCTAACTTTCTATACTTTTACTACACTAATCAATTCAAAAGGCATTTCCGAAATCCAAAAACAGTATAAAAGGTTCAAGCTCAACCCCAACAAACCTAAATTGAAAACAAAATTAAAAAATCAGGTACCAGACTTCTACTTTATATCGTAATACTAGACCAAATTGACACATTTGCATTTTGTTTTAAGCAATTTTTAGTGAAATTTATTTTTATCATAATTCAAAACAAATTTCCATCTAAAACTAGTGTAATAGGTTCAAGCTTAACTCTTACTAAAAACATAATTAAATTCAAGTACCGGAACTCTATAGCCAACCCATAACTTCTGATATGAAAAAAATAATAGTGTAAAAGTATTAAAAAAGAACAAGTAAGTAAAATAAAAAATGACCTTCAATAAGAATTATTTATAATCTTATATTGAATAAAAATGATTATAAACTAAACAGAGAGTTAGCCATGCTTCAAACATAAATTGTAAACCTTGTCTTATTGTGTCAGATTGCCAGTCATGAGTATGAAAGTAAGAAAATAGAATGCACATGTGATTGCATATACAGTCATGTGCTATAATCCTGCCCAGATAGCTGGTCTCTATTGAAACTGGTTGCTATGACTGAATTTTGGTCTAGAGGAAATTGACTCCAGTATAAATTGGCACAATATAAAGAAAATCAAATAGCAGGTTCCATCACAAACCCTTTATACTTTAGTAAATAGTAAGTAAGTCACCTGAATTGGAGAGTGGTGGGTGGTAGGGAGTAGGGGGAGTTGTAGGTCCCCTCCACTTCCCTCCCCTGTTGGATGTGCTGTTTTTTAATTTTAAAACCTCATTTTGAGGTTTTCGTTAAGTTTTTAACAATATCAGCCTGATTTATGGGGGGAGAGAATTGGGGGAGCCCCTTGCCACTAAACGTAGCGCAGTCGAGAGAAGCCCGGTCGATGGCACCCCGCTTTGCAGGGCTTCTTCTACTTCTGAGTGGTTTATAAAAAAATAACAACGAAGAGAAAAAAATCCCCTTCTAACCTAATCTGCCCGAGTGGGCACAGCTCTTACACACAATGAAACACCAAAATACTAACTTTATAATTACTTTAAATTATAAACATAATTTATGGTCACCATCCCCAACCACCGTTTGTAAAAAAGGATTCAGAGGTGTAGCTAAGTCATAGAATAACAGGGGAGGAAGATAAAAATGTAAGGGAGCACATTCATGTAAACTTGGAAACAATGGAATACCATAAAGTATATCTGTCACTGTCAACAAAATGGTCGGCCTAGTGATTCATTTTACACATTTTGAGATGACTTTGACAGTTGCAACATCAAAAATGTTGGAATTAGGTTATATGTACTTTCCATTTTTAGTGATTTACCAATATTTTTAAAAAAATAATTAAAAATACTTTGACGCTGCTCTGGTAGGCAGCACTAAACATATGGGGGTGCTTCAGATAAACCCCCTTGAACCCCCCAGTGACCAGGCGACTTGTTTTCAAACCCAACCCAATAGGGGCAACATAAACATCATCAACATTTTTAAAAAGTATACATAAATGTGTATATGGATTACAGTAACTGCTCGCCATCATGAATAGAAGACATCAAATGCTTTTTATGGTGCCATATTTAATTACTGGTTTAATTTGTGGTGTAAGGTGACACAAAACCTGCCAGCTAATTGGGTTAATTATTCAGCAGGTGGTGATTGGCTTAAGCACATTAAATATTTAAAAGTACATAATCAATTAAATCTATTTGAAAACTGTGTAAAATAGCCCAATCCATCTATATATATATATAAAAGAGGATGTTCAGGACAATGTCTGCAAGTTTAAGCTAGTAACAAAAATTGAAATAACACACCCAAAACTAAATCCATACTGGCTTTTAACCTCATTTAAAATCTTGTTGAAGTAATGTATCTCTATCATTATCTAACAGAATAATTTATTTGAATGATAAAACGGACATATTTACCTTTTTCTCTGAGCTCGATTAAGGCTCTCCTGGCGAGTGAGCCTCTGACCTTCAATCTCTCAGAGACAACTGCAGGTGTGATTAATTTGTATTGAGGCACTTCTTTATACAACTTTTCGTAAGTTGGTTTGTCAAACAACACTTGATTGTTTAACTTATCACGGACTTTTCCTTTGGACCACTTCTGCAAATTTAAATATTTAGGAGATATATTATACAGAAAATATTAATTCACAAATTTCTAAGGTAATAATATTGCCATCAGACTCAATATATCAGTTAATTTTTAACTTTCATAGACTTCAAGTTATGAGATATAATCATATGGAAAATTTGATAACAATAATAAACATCTCTTGCTATATTTTGTAATATATTTCAATGATAACATTTATCGACATTTGCTACAGTTTGAGTTTATATATAATACATGTGGCACATACAATAAACAAGAAAATCTATGTAACTTTAAAATCAAGTTAAAAATATCTAATTACTGAACAAATATCATATAAAGTTTAAAATAATTAACTTATGAAAAAAGAGGGTAAGAATCTCCCGAGGAAGAGACTTCTGGAATGCTTGATCACATAACCTAATTTACACATGACAAAACAACAATTTACCTTCTTTTTGGCTTTGCCGCCGCCAGATCCTTCCTTCTTCTTTTGTGTTTTCTGAGGCTGTTTGGCCGAAGCCTTCGCGTCCTTCTTAGGCGGCTATAATTAAATAAAACTGTTGACATTATTTCGTAGCCACGAGGTGGTAAATCAAGACGTTTAAATGATATAGAAAAATATTAGACTATGAACAAAATGTTGTACATAAAAAGTAATTAAGTACGTTAATTTAAACGAGTGAAAGCAATTTCTCTTTGTATAGGGTTTATTTCAATAAATAAACTGCAAAAACGCACGCATACTCACCATGTTGAGAACCGAAAGAAAAGAGAGATGTATAGACAACGTATGTCTATGTTGTCAGCTCAACAAGCTAAACTCACCTTGTTTATGATACTCTGTGGTCTACGTCTAATTTGCGCTATTCGGCGCTAGTACTTCTTATTTGTGGTCGAATCTGTGCTTAAAAATTCTTTGTTTTTCTTTGTTAATGGACACGTATAAAAATTTATTCTCAATTTGTATAAAAACTTCTTAACAATACGTTGATGGGACACATTTATTGAGGGCAGAGGTAAGGAGAATTATCTCTGTGTATGAAAATGTGTCCGTCGAAATGTGTTACATTAGGATTGCGCTACAATAGCAGCAGGGTAAATTTTAAACTAATAATTTTTATTTAAATATTTTTAATTCAAAATTAGGGAACAAAAGTTCATCAAAATCAAAATGACAAAAAATGACAATTTTTGGATGAAATTTTTTTAACAATCAATTATAAAAACATTTGAAATATTTTTTTGGCATAAAGAAATAATAATGCCCCTATTACACTACCCTGAATCAGGGCCCTGAATTAAGGGTTGGCGTGGCCCTTAATTAGAGACGTCAATTATTACACTTCACTGATTTTACGTACTTACTCAGTCATAGGGATAGGCAAGTGCAAAAAGTATATTGTATCGATATTTTTGTACAGTATCAATATATATCGCGTGAAAACAGAGGTCGGAAATAGGTATATAAATACTTGCATCGAAATGTTAATATTAATATAGATCCCATCAAAAACATAAATGTGAAATGAGAGCCAAGTTTAATATTATGATATATGCCTTGGTTGTTGACTTCAACGACAAAAGAAGTGAGATCTAAATGGGTGCCAAGTTCAATGGTCGGCCCTAAAATTTATTTATAACAACATAAAATATCGTTCCTTCTTATAACTTAGGATATTGCAGCCTAAAGTCTGACTTGGCTAGTTCTCATATAATATTGAACTTGGCTCTCATTTCACATTTATGTTTTTGATGGGATATCACTACTTTTTGTACATAAATTATTAGTAGGTACTTATTTATAACAAAATTAATACCAAATGTTTTTTGTTAAACTGCTGTATTTTATTTTCTATATTTTCTTGAACCTTTAATATGTTTAAGTGAATTGCCCATTCAGTATCCGGAATTTTTTCACGCATTTTCTGTTTATACTTAATTTGGCCAAGTCGGGGCGGTATAACGTGCGCAGACGGTTGTAGTCTTCAATAGAGCTCTCTTGTGACTTCATTTGACTAGGATCTAAATTGATATGATGTACTCCATCTAAGGTTTCAACTCTGGAGAGTCCAACGTAAGCCTGTCCTCTACTAAATATAGAGGAGCCTATGTCGAGAAGAGCACTGTCAAGGTTAAGGCCTTGTGATTTGTGGATAGTAATAACATATGCTAAGCAAATAGGGAATTATTCCATGTGAACATATACACTACTTAATATCTATATTTAATATCTCTGAATCCTATTTAATAAAAAATATCATCGAAATAGGTTCAACAATGACAAAGATATCGCGTAACGTTACGAAAAAACCTATAGT